AAAAAAAAATTACTGGTCCTGAATCAACTGAAAAATGCTCATGTTTTGCCCCCCAACAGTTGAGGAAAGTCCTTTTCTTCCTACTTGTTACAGTTTTCCCATCTATCATTGCAGTGGTTTGATTAAAAGTTCAAAATTCAATGTTTAAATTTTAACCCAGCCTTTCGTGTTGACTTCATGGCTCATTTTGTAGCATTTAAGCCTATAATAGGATGCCTAGACCTGTTTTTATTTTTATTTTTTTCGCCCTGTCGCTTCATATTTTTTCTGAAAAAATCCGAGAACCAACAAATTAAATTGGTGTGGCCTTATCATACTTTTATTGATAAAAACTGGTTATATTTGAAAACTGATCTCTTAAAATGTATTGTGTTACATTAGAACTGAAACACTTTCTAACATTCTTTTTATCAAATTGAACTGCTTTAACAAAAATTCAAGGGTTTGGGAATAGTAAAATTACTTAGAAGAGATTACTTGCCACTGTGTTTATGAGAATCTAATGATGTAACATCACTCCATAAAACAGTTTTATGAGCATGCTGCATGCATGAAATGTAATTAGCTATTACATGACCTGTCAAAGTCATAAAACCTTTAAATGATTGGCCTGATTTCTGTAGGCATAAAATTAGGTCTGGGTTAATGAGATCAGTTCATAATTGTTGGCAGATATCGGTATGTCACCAAGCCATGTCATCACAATATAAATGCTATTGTCCAATTTGTAAAGTGAGGCAGTTGCTGCAACTGTAAGCTTGTAACTTCTAACTGCTCTTGATTTGGGATTTAGATTTATGGTAGTTCTAGTAATTTAGTTTTGGTTGTTCATAACTGATTCTTTGGTCCACTACTTTACATTTTCCCAAAAGCATCTCACAATTTCCCATTGGTTATGGTAATAGTTGGCTGGAGGCCAGTTAAAGCTTATTCATTACTGTGGACACTGAATGACACAAAGTAACAACAGATTGACTGAACCAGATTCTGTATTTTGGAAGAAAACCTTCCCACAAATCAAGATGGAAAGGTACAGCATCAATAGTTATTCCATGCCAACAACAGTGATCAAAATGTTGACAGGACAGATCATTAAAGATTCAGTCCATGCTATCATGGAGGGTACTGCCAGGTACAAATTGACCATTTACATGTGCTAAGGACAAGAAAGGGTGATAGAATGAGGAAAAATGAATCTAACTTACTTGGACCATGAGAAGAACTTAATCGGGGACTTAAACAGGGCATTTGGGGACCATGAATTCAACACTGGACAATCTTTTTAGCCACTTCACTTGAGCATATGACAAATAAACCAGCACACAGCAGGCCTCGAAATTAACTTTTTTCACTATTGTCCCAGAATTGTCCCGAACATAGATTTCAATTGTCCCGAACTGAAGATGGACTGTCCCAGCCTGCTTTTCAGGAAATAAGTTGATGACAAAAATAAGAAAACAACAACTGAATTTGTACAACTTGAAGTCCACTTTATTAGTAAATGTAGGAAAATACATGATAATATCATGGGCATGGCACCGTCCCTGATATTTGGAATCCCTGATTGGTCAAATTTAAAAAATTAATGTTTGTCAGAGTATTATATATTTATAGGCTGCCAGCAGTCTGCAGCAGGATGGATGGATCGCGTTCCCAAATGACGTCGATGGTCTTAGAATTTTCCAATTGCCCCAAAATTGTCCCGAAACGTAATTTGAATTGTCCCAAGCTGAAAATTTAGTGTCATTTGACACTGGGACAATGTTAATTTCGAGCCCTGCACAGATTTAGCCCATCTTTTTTTCTTTCAACACATCAAGATATATGTATCTTCCAACCACACTGCCATATTATATAATTTGAAATTTTGGTCAATCCAATGCAGTATGTCCTTGACCTGTGTACTTTTATCAGAATTAGAAGCCTATGGGGGGGGGGGAATATAACCTGATTGGTCTTACACACGGTAGTACTGATTGAACTTCAGTCTGCTTGGACCATTACTAAATTGAAACCGGAGCTCAAGTCTACAAACATTTTCAACATTCCCTAATGTGAAAAGAACTAGACACATTCAGAGTTGAGTTTCAACTGATTTCCAGGAACTTCCCATCTTGCCAGAGAAGAATCAGGTCCAACGGATACAAGGTCCAAATGTGGAATTCAATGTAATACATCTGTAAATGGAAACTGTTATTTCCTGTTGTTCAAGGAATATATGACTAATGCCCTTGCTATGAATGACTGGCTACTGTAATCCTTGAAATAGCTGCTGTGGTCAGTCTAGCAGCACATGAATATGATACAATTAAGTTCAACATCATGAGGGCTTGACTAGTAAGAAGCGTAAAAGAGCTTTCAATGAAACTGCACAACAGAGCTGAAAATGCCATTCATTTCTCAGGCTAAATTGGCAGACTGGAGTATTGGTCTAGATCTAGTGCCACTGGCAGTATCTCATTTGGAACCAATTGATACCATAGACAATTCACTATGACAAAGTGACGATATTTGCCTTCAGAAAAACTTCACAGCATCTCATGACCCTTTCTAGAGAAGTGTGAACAGTTCAACATACAACAAATTTGACTCAAACCAGTTAACTACTAAAACAGGGCTGAAAATACCACCTGTATATGCAGGTAAAATGGCAACTGCACAGCTTTTTTTTGACATCTTGCACCAGGCCATATTGAAAGCAGCCTGCAGCACTCGGGTAACAAACAGGCATTGGTGACCAAAAATGCCCTATGGGACTGCTAAGAGGACTAATAAAATCTGGTCTTTGTGGACAAAAAAATGGCCATGAAAGACAGGATTCGAAGTAACGCTTGTGTCAAGGGGGGAAAATCATCTCAGGGGCCACCAAAATTGGTTACATTCGCCTGGTTGTCCCCCATATAAAGAGGTGGTAAGTCATACTGGTTTAACTGTATACATCGTTTGAAAGCTCTAAAATCGCCCCATTTTCAGTGTTTACCGGCCCCGTAACAGGTTTTATATGGCGTCCAATACCCCTAGTATAACTATAAGGAAACATTTTCAAGATACTCTTGTAATTACTAAGAAGTAAAGAAAATGAGTGGTGCAGGTGAATGTTACAAATACCATTTACTACTCCAGGTATGCAGAAAAAATGATTCAGTGCCTTGTTTGTACCGTCTTCCAGGTTGAACCACCTGCTAATCTGCCCAAAGTGTCTCAAAATGGCTGTGGATCAGAAACGACTACAGAATAGTAAGCAGGAGATGAAGCATTTGCTACATATAGAGCACTAGTCACTTCTGCATACTGATGGTGACTACCAAGAAGCCACATTCAAGAATTCAGGGTTTTTTCTAAACAGGCGAATAAGGGAGCTGCTCCCTCATGTAACCAGCCAGCTCCCTCATACCAATTTTCAGATTGAACCCTAAGTGGCTACTCTTATTAAAAAATACCCCCTCGGTCGCTTCGTTCCTTGACATGCTTGCGATCTGCTCCCTCATGCTTAATTTTTCTAGAAAAACCCAAGGTACCTTGCATGTGAAAGGTTTTCTAAAACAGACCAGTATTTTCTGACAGGTACTTAACAATAACATCTGGTTGTTGACACCAATCTTTATTCAGTGTGACATGTAGGACAAGATACCCACTGGGATGTCTTAATTACGTGCATGCATGACAGGAACTTAATCTCCAAGCAGATCTTTTGGTGGGGGTAAGACAGTATCAAATTGGCCAGTCTGTAACCATTTCCCAACTCGAGTTGGTGGTGGTTGCGACAAAAAAAGGACCATATATAAAAAGCAAACGATCTTCCACCATCAACCTCTGCTTGGAGAGTACAGGAACTGAGGAGCCCCCAGTTATTGGGCATTACATCTTTCAACACTCTACTCATACTCTTCTGATTCTTGACATCCATGACTCAAAAATGTGCTTCTTGTTCTTCAATGTACGCTATGTGCTCATCTAGTTGATTAACTCATTTGAGACTATACCAATATTCTTTTAATCTCAGCGATCTCTTCTCTCACATATTGAACATTTCACTGACACAGGTACAACAAAATTGTCACATGGGCATACACTGTATTACACATACACATCAATGGATAGTGACATGAAGATATCTAGTAGGAAAGATAGTTACCTTTATTGTCCAACCCTGACTCCCTAGCCTGCTGGGTCTTCTGTGACAGCCTTCTCACAACGTTTCGATGTTCATCTGAACACTAGAGACAGGGGGGAGGGATATATACACTCTTCTCAATTTCTGCTGGGGTAGTCAGGGTGTGTGGTGTGTTCAGCATGCACATATACACCTGTCCTCTAATCTAATCATACCTACATCAAGTCACCTGTTTCATTCTCAGATTTGATCAGAATTCAGTCAGGAAATGTTCAATTAGAGTCTGCACAAGTTACCTTGGATCTTGTTTTGATAATAATTGAAGTTTTTTTTTTAAGAAGTAACTGATTAACTCTTGAACAAAGTACTCTTGGAAAACCTTGTCTTTAAATCCAGGTCAAAAACATGACCTCGAAAAAGGATTTACAGGAAAAGACATGTGTTTCAACTTCCTCTATTCAGGATAGACACAGAAATAAAGAATGAAACAAAACAGACCAGCATCCCATGGATTAGGTACTTATTCCCATTTTAATTCAGTAGTCTCTCTGAAGCTACACTATGATTCTTGGCATGTCCTGTAATTGGCCAATATTCCACAAAATAATTGTAAAAATAAAAAGGTTGTCTTTATTCTCAAGTCATGGCTTTTGACACTTGAACTTCTTATTAACATTTTATACCACAGAAATTATTAATTAAACATGCATGGACATCGGTCCTCTTTCACACATGGTGCAAGGGAGATGGGGGGGGGGGTGATCGGGGGAAACCATAACACATGCACATGTTCTTCAATGAGCACGCTAACTAGTATTCGTCAGGTCACACGGTAACATGCGGATTCGGAGGATCATAAACAAAGAAACACAACATACACGGGTATAACGAAGGGAAATCGTGTTTTTGATGTCCAGTCAGAACGAGCGACACTCTCGCCACCACGTATCCAACAAAGGAAAAAACCCGCCTCAGGCCTCCCGAACAGTTAATCGTTCAACACACATAAAATCATGGCAATTCGACAATAATACTGCAGTGGTTGGAGCTATAGCCCGCACATGTAAGGTACGACATAATACGAAATCAAAAGTGATCGTTTCACTTGGATAAAATCAACGCAGACGATGCATACACCCTAAAATGCCAATGAAATGATGTAACTTCCAGAAAAGGCTGGAACCAGTCTGGTTGTCAATATACCTCGACTTAAAACCGTTCTTTCTCGACTTCTAGGGGTCAAATGCGGTCAATTCTACCACCTGTAAAGTCCTGAAAGTGACCTTCACACTCTAGTTACAATTTTTGGTGCAAACTGACTCAATTAACGACGAATTTCACGTTTTTACAGGTTGCAATTTTAATGAACCTACAAAGCCTTACAGCGAAAAATGGCGCCTCTATATCCCCAACCTCGCAAGGTCGTTGCCCCAGTTCTACACTGTTACACGTCTTAAACTATATGTAACGTGGAAAATTTAGAGTCTGTACCCTGACTGGATGTTGTGTGCTGGCTGCTGAAAGTTCTGCCAAGCCGGATGGCTCTTGCCGTCCATTCCGCAGGCTGGATTGCAAAGAGACACGGCAGGCAGCTCCACAGTCCGTAATGGCGACCCAGCACAACAACACCCTATTTATACTACACAGGCGACAGGGCTAACTCCTATTGGTCCAGAGCGATCACATGATCGTCTGGAGACAAAATTTTGCTTAAAAATCTTCTAATTCTCTCGGTTTTCTCCTCTTTTCTAGCCTACACTGTCTCTTTTGACACACTGCGAGATTCTGGCGGTATCCTCCCGAACGGAACGCAGCTGAAGGCCAACTTTCTGGCGGCGGCGCCGGCCTGAAAAATGAAACACGCCACACATCACACGTAGTTCGCCAGCGTCGGCGTCACGAGCCCGCCATCCCATTGGTCAGGAACAATCACGTGACATTCGATCCGGCAAATTTCTTAAAATTTTAACTAGTTTTCGGTCGATTGTCGTAGATTCACTCCAGTAATCCGCCAGTTGGACGTAAAAGATGTCGATCCTTGGTACAGCCGAGGCGGACAGGTTTTCTTAGAGCGCGTTAGGAGATGTAAACAGCCCACACCCTCCCGCCGGCTGCACGGGGGAAATAACGGCCGCCATTCGCGCATGTCAATCATCCGCCCGCACATGCGCACTGCCACACACTTCCCGCCATTGCCCGGCATGTTTACGTTGCTTTGTGCGGGGCTGCAGGAGGCGAAAACTCGTGCTCTTCTCACCGATTTTTCTCGGATTTTCGGAAGCCAGGAACCCCCACATTAAGAAATCTACACACACGGGAGCACTGCTGACTTAACAGGTAAAGTTTATCTTGATCAAATCTTTTATAAGCGCGATCACAGAGCACGTGGCACTTGTCATACTAAAGTGCACATGCCATAATAATTTTCTGTGATCTGAGAAAGGCACGATCAGATATGTAACTTGCTAGGATTTAAATAGTAATCATGAAGACTATATTTTACGAATGAAGAAAGGTACTGACATGAGAGTCACTAGCTTATGTTCTATCGGGTAGTTTTGTAACGTAGGTTGAAAAGACAAGGTGGTTTTTTAATCTACTATGGTTGCCCCCCTCCCCATCCAAATCGTCATCATACATAGCACAACTGAATGCCATGCATATAAAAATCAGCGAAAAGATATTCTGTGATATTATTTCGTCGTGAATTTGCTGCTATATTTGTTATTAAATCGTATCTTATTTTCTTGTTATTGTTGTTCACGTATTATAATTTATAGGAGTTGTAATTTAACAAATTATAATTTACCATAATGGGAAACATGTTAATAACTTCATGCTGAACTATGATATTTTTACTTCAACTTCTACTTGAAGTTCAAGGAGAACTCAAACAAGGATGTCGGCTGAGAAGAAAGAGCCAGAAGAGGCCACTGTGGCTCCAAAGCCGGCCGCACCGACAACCACTGCCTCCCAACCCACCCCTGCTACTACAGCTACTACAACTACTACATCTACACAGAACACACAGCCCAAACCACAGCCGTTGGTGAGCTACAGCTACAACAACCCAGGGCTCTAGCCAGCACCCGTTTTTCCATCAATTACCAGAACTTTGTGGCACCTGAAGGAAAAATTTTAAAACCAATCCGTCAACCTTGACAGACAAAATCAACAAAAATCTTTTACTAAAAGTTAAATATAAAAACACCCATAGGACCACGGACAACCACATGATTTTGATCACGAACCTGGGCTGATGGAAAAACATGTTGAGCTGGCTAGAGCCCTACTACAACCACTAGTATATTGGATGCTTTGGTCTCACTTTTGGGATAAAGCACAAAGAAATTGACCTATGACCCGATATTGAAGCTGTACTAGTATAGGATAACACTACAGTACATGGAAAAATATCAGTCTGTGTACCACTCTACTGTATCTTGGTGGTAATACATGATACTAACTGAGTAACTGTTGTAACCCTACTTTGATCTTTCCCCAGAAACCAAACTACACCCTGAAGTTCACGTTGGCCGGCCACACAAAAGCAGTCTCCTCTGTCAAGTTCAGCCCAAATGGAGAGTGGCTCGCAAGTTCATGTAAGTATACAAGTATGTCATCTTTATGGCATGCTCAAGGCAATTGTGAACTGGTATTAGGTTGTTCCATGAATGCATTTTAGTTCTCTTACTAAAGAGTTGTGTCCTTCCTGTTTCAGCGGCCGACAAGCTGATAAAAATCTGGGGTGCGTACGACGGCAAGTTTGAGAAAACCATCTCTGGACACAAACTGGTAAGTACTGAGGTCCACTCTCTGTCGTAGAACTTGCCATAGCGATCATACCAGGGGGCACTCTAATAAGGTAGTATCCATACTAATGTACTAAGATTTGCCCTCTTATGGCTTCCCTGCAAAATAGCTAGACTTAGAGTTAGAGTCCCAAGCATGCCTCTACAAATATGTTATGCCCTAGGAAATGGCACTTTAACTTGAGCCTATTTCCCCTCTCAACTTAGGTGAAAATAAAAAACCTAGGTTTGGTAAGGGACATCCTCTCAGATGGGACATAAATTATTATTAAAGTTGGTGGTCCAGTCCTGTACTATCTGTGTACCTGTACAGGCTGTACTTAAAATTTATTGAGATACACAGCTCTCTCTCTCTCTCTCTCTCT